ACCATGCCCGAACCTAATTGATCATTGATTGGGTCTGAGGTCACGTGATTATGAGCCTATGAGGTCACGTGACTATGACGTCACCAGACCTTTTACTCCGTTTCCCGCTCATTGGACCAGGTGAGCTTGCATGCTTGTGAATGTAGGTGTAAGTACAGCTGTTGAGCTGTACTGTAGTTCATACCTAATTAACCCCTATACACTGTCACTGTGCACTATAATAAGTACCTGAAAAGTGGTTACTGCATAGTGGAGGGAGAAGTGCCAAGACTACCTGCGATACATAGACGCTGTTGTCAGCACTGCGCGCGCGCACGAACCTTCCCATTGGGGTTCGTGGATAGGTGCTTTTCTTGACTTGTGAAACAAGCGCGCCCAAAGTGGCGCGAAAGCACATGGTTAGGTGAAAATTACTGGGCCGCGCTCAGCCTGTTAGTAGAGGCTCTTACGGGCTTTGTCTGCTCGATACACTAAAATCACCAGACCCATCTTAAAAGACGTATTTTTGACCGTAGAATCGATTAAAAGTGGTTAGAAGTGTTTTAAAATGGGGGTTACCTGGTTTTATTTTGAAAAAAACCGTTTTTTGGCCCCAAAAATGGCCATTTTTTGAGGTTTTTTAGAAATTTCGACAGGTTAATTCAATGAAAAAGCTTAGATATTTTGGTTTCTTGTACATTTTTATTTGCCGCACTAGCTAATACCAATATAATAAGCACACCTAAGAGTTTACCCGGTCAAAATTTTAAAAAACCTCCCAAAAAAAATGTTTTTTTGCGCGCTAAATTTTTTCGGCTCTTTATACATCCATAATGAAATATTTTTGCCCACAAAGTGTTTTAATACTGTTCAACAATACTATTTGATAGTTTTTCAGCGTCAAAACAAGTTTTGAAAACGGAAGAAAAAATTATATTTTTCGTGGTGCTGAGCACTTTGAAAATTTTTGAATAAAATCGAGCGCTACCGTAAAATTTTAGTAACCCTTCCCTGAAACTCATTTAAGTTTTTGTACCGTTAGTGTTTTGTCCTTTTCTGAAGTTCATGCCTTCTCTGGCTTAATTTCATTTAATATTGTTTAATACAGTACAGTAAAGTGTTTTATAATAGTAGAGTGCCATTTCTAATACTTCAATGTTACATTGTTGAGATACCTTTACTTGACTGATTACCTTTTGTTAATACAATTTCACAAATTTAGTATTGCATTGCTTATATGACTATTTGGATTTATAATTTATCGATTGTGGGTATGAATAAACTTTTGGTTCACAATCAACAATATAATGTCTACTGTGTGGTACCCTTACAAGATTAATTGAAGATCTTTTGACAAGAATGCCTGACTTAAACCCCCTCATCCATCACTCATTCCGTGTTACCTGTTGGATGTGGAGGACCCCTACCACAAACTGAAATATTGTAAAGGTACCCTTCAGTACATAAATAGAGCACTGTAAATAATATAGATTAGTTACTGCTATCTTCTCAATGCAATTTTGAATACATGTCAGGAACACCTGACTTAAACCCCCTCATCCATCACTCATTCAGTGTTGCCTGTTGGATATGGAGGAAATCTACACGACAAAGTGGAATATTGTAAAGGCACTCTTCAGTACACATAAAATAGAGCACGGTAAATAATATAGATTAGTTGCTGCTATCTTCTTAACATGATTTTGAATTTATAAATAGTAGTAGAGTAAATGTGAGGAATGCCTGACTTAAACCCCCTCAGCCATCACTAATTTACACATAAAATAGAGCACGGTAAATAATATAGATTAGTTGCTGCTATCTTCTTAACATGATTTTGAATTTATAAATAGTAGTAGAGTAAATGGCAGGAATGCCTGACTTAAACCCCCTCAGCCATCACTAATTTCGAATAAATGTATAGATGCTGCATTGAATTCATGAAGATATCATTCGTTTTGAGCAATCATTCCCTTAGCTCCCCCGTTCTTTGATTGTTTCAAAGAAGTAGTCATACTACAATATGTATTGTTTAGTTACATCTATTGCCAAGTTATTTAAGCCATTTCATCTCTAGTAGATTCAAATAATTTCTGTAATTCTGAATTATGTTGCTGAACAAACTTGACAATCACCATTAGAAAGAAGGTGACATGTTTATGGACCCAGAACTAGCTAAGACAGTTCTCTGTGTACATGCGGATCACTTCAAGAATCTTCCTGATGAAAGAAGCTTGCGTGGTTTGTTAAAAGACTTCGATCCGCTCACAGCCATGCAGATTAAGAAGAATTTAGATCGACATTATTTTGATAACAATGAAAACTCAAATGGTTTGATTTTTAGCTAAATTACCATAATTATTATAATTAATTAAATACAGGCTGACAATGTTTCATTTCGCAAACTGTATCTGAATAATGTAATTTTAACTGAATCTTAAGCTGTTCAAACAGCTTTTTTTAGATGATGTTATCGATGCTGTATAAGTTGAAACCTTTTGATGATGAGAGGTACATGAACAAACCTATACTAAACAATACTACATTCCAGCTTGGAACGAAATGAGTGGAGTTGAACGACGCCCTGTTTATTGAAACTTCATCAATCAACTTTTAAACGATGCAGGTTATTAATGAAATGAAATGAAATACTACTACTTTGTCGGAACTAAGTCCGATCTACGCCAGATAACCCCCTCCATATATCCCTGTCCCGCATCAGGGTTCACAGTTCCTCTTTTGAGTTTGTCCCAATTTGCTTCAGTAACATAGACAAGTAGCTTTGTCTTGGTCGGCCTTGCTGTGCTCTACCATGCATAGGTTTCCATAAGACTAAATCACTGGCAAGTAGCTCAGGATGTCTGATGCAGTGTCCTGCCATTTTTAGTCTCCTGCTTCGTAACTTGTTTGACAGCCTTGGTAGACTACCATACAAAGTTATATTGCTGACTTTGTCCTTCCATGAGATACTTATGGGACGTATGTCACTCATTATTATGTATCACTCTCTAACATCTTGTCCTCACTACAAATATTACCACTTCTGATATAATAATGTTTTTTTGTGTCTTCTTTGGCTCAGGCATGACTCCAGCTCAAAATCTTTGGGTGGGGTGCAGCTTGGCGCACGGGGGGGGGGGGGGGGGGGGGGGGGGGTTGTGAAGCCCCCCCCCCCCCCTAATTTTGGAATTTTACTCTCCTAACGGTATTTTAATATCTCCAAAACAGTCTCAATTGATTACAGAAGTCAATTGACCCTTAGTTTATACAAAATTTGACAATTTTTGTGTGAAGATTTTCAAATCGTTTGGGTGGGTTGCAACATCCTTTGGGTGGGTGCGCACCCACCCCACAGGAGGGGCTAAGTGCAAAGAAACTACTGCTAACTGCTGCTCACTGCCTGCTCACTGCTACTAACTGCTGCTCACTGCTGCTCACTGCTGCTCACGGCTGCTCACTGCTGCTCACTGCTGCTGTCGCGCGCGTTCCCATAGCAGCAGTGAGCAGCAGTGAGCAGCAGTGAGTAGCAGTTGCGCGCGGCGTGCGTTGTGCAGTAAAGACACGCATATAACTGCTGCTAACTGCTGCTAACTGCTGCTCACTGCTGCTCACTGCTGCTCACTGCTGCTCACTGCTGCTCACTGCTGCTCACTGACAGCAGCAGTGAGCAGCAGTTAGTAGCAGTTAGTAGCAGTGAGCAGCAGTGAGCATCCAGTGAGTCAGCAGTGTGCAGCAGTTTCTTTGCACTGAGCAGCAGTGAGCAGCAGTGAGCAGCAGTTTCTTTGCACTTAGCCCCTCCTGTGACCCGAACCTACACGGTGGAGCCATGCCTGCTTTGGCTATCTGTTTCATTTCCAAGACCAACCGATGATGGATAGCTCGATCTTCAGGTGATCGATCTGGAGAGATGAAAAACAGTCTTATGATCTTCACACAGTCTCAGCTTTTTGGCATTTACTAATATCTGATGAACGGTTAAGTCTAGAATTACCTAGCGAAAACTTTGACTGGTCTCGTCTTGTTGGCTGATTTTCTCCCAACCCAGATAGCTTCAAAACGTGGTTTTTCTTCAATCTGCTGAAAAATCACGGTAACTTTATTGCACAGTTCCTCTTCATCAGTCTCCTTCAAACCAAATATGAGCACATTCCTACTGCGTTCCTCTTCGATACAGGCATTCTGTACACCCCTTTTTTAAACTCCTCTTCTGCAAGCACAGGTGCATTTTTAGTCACAGCTTGACTGTATGACTTCAACTCAGCTTGGACAGTGTCTTGAACGGCGGTTCTTGACGGTGGAGTGCACGGATTCCAACTGCTTCGATTTAGTTTCCAGAAGTTCAGCCTGCAGCTTGATAACAGTACTTTGCGATCGGATAAGATCGCTCTTCAACTCTCCATATCTTTCTTGTTATCAAGAAACGTACTTACATGATTATCGGTAGTCTGATACGCAGAATACAAATTACAAATGTTTTACTGAAACTGACTTCACTGAAAACTCAGATTTATTGTCACTAACAGTTCGTAGCTTCCGCGAGTTCAGTGATCCAACCGTTATAGACCTCATACTCTTCAGTAATGTAGGTAGAATAAACTGACAATCTTTAAAGAGTATCCATTTCCTCCATCGTTTACTTGTACTTGTATAAAGTAAAAAACACAGTACCAGCAAAATGGCAGTTGTTATGTAGCGATAAAATAGAGATAAGAGCTAGATTATCAACACGTAACAAAAAACTGTAAAACTGTATCATAATATTATGATGCTTTTAACATCATCTGTTGTGATATACATGACAAAGGGTTGGAAATGTACAGTAACCTTACTATATTGCAATTACACAATATTATGTGAACGACCCCTAACCCCTTATAGGCACTATAAGCATTGAATAATGATAACTGCAGGGTTTCAAAATGTACAAGGCATCATATCAAAGAATGCATATGCCCGAAAAGAAGGACAAATCCAAATTTGGCTTTCTGGATGTATGGAAAGCTCTCAACCTTCCAGAAAGTACTTTTCAAAGGAACACTTAAATCCCTCCGACAGGTAATTATTATAAATAATAATTTAGTCTACACTTCATTATGTCAAATCACCTACTATAATGAAGAACTAAAATTGTTGTGTTAACCAAGTTTAATGTGACTCAATTTTGGTGGAACTTTAGAATTTGGACGTTATATCTATCATGTTCATCTTAAATCTCATATATTATATACTCAATATTCAATTAAACAGACAAAGATAACCTCTCTAGGCCCTCTGGTGGTGACGTATATAAGTGCTTTCTCAGTTCTTTCTCTCGCTTTTGGACAAATCCAGTGACGTTAACTTTTTATCAGTGGTCGACCGGGGGCAGGATTCTGACCGGGGCCGGGGAAGCCCCAATATAGCCGGGGCCGGGGCTGACCCACTGAGAATTGGCCGGGGCCGGGGTTTACCCCCGGCGAATTGCCCAATTTTTGGCCGGGGCCGGGAAGGGCTAAGGGTTGTGATTTTGGCCGGGGCACCGGTCGACCACTGCCTTTTATGTCACGATTTTTAAACTTTATTCATAAGTTTATGAAACATCAAAACTTTGCATGCTCTGCATAATGTAAACTCAGTCATGCACTAGAGCACAGTTCACATATAACCTAATCCACCCTAGGGGAGGGGGTTTGAAATCGCTTGTGCTAGAGTGATTTATACTCAATAGCTATGTGAAAAGTGGCTCAAGGAGGGGAGACCGACGTAAACAATTTTGAATTGGTAGAAGTTAAGTTTAGGCTTTAATGAAAAACTATTTAAAGAATATCATTCTTTTACCACAGACATAAGACTTTTGCCGTAGGGTATACAAAAATGTGACCATTCATCAATTTTCAGAGTGCTGTATCTGTACCCGAATAGAAATAAAGATAAAATAAAAATTTTAATGAAACAGTTTTCTTCCGCTCTGAAAGTGAAACGAATGACAAAACAGTCTAGAGAATTCCTCGCCCTGCTGTAGAAGATCAATCCTGGGTTGTGCTCACCAAAGCAAACCTCTTTTTTGTGTATTCAGTGTCTTAACTATGTAAAGACAAACTATAACAGGGTGAGTGGTTTCCTCCTGTTTTACTAACATTTAAAAACATTATTATTCAAAGGTAAATAGACAGCGAGTAGTAATTTTTAATCCATTTCTATCGGATTTGCAAACTTTTAAAATGATATAACACTTGTACGATCTCAAACTTATGTGATATGATACTGTTGATATAAATGTGGAAGTAATAAAGTATTTACAGGTGTACAGTGCTGTTTCTGAAATTGACGAATCCTCTTGTGATGAAGATTGAAGAAGCTATTGCATCCAAGTGGAAAAAGTCCCGCCTTTGTCACCTCCTCGAACTCGAACTAAGAAAATGTGGGAGACTATCTTCATTAGTTCCCAATCAAGTGGACCAGATGTTGATTTGTTTGAAATGGACTGAGACTTGTGTTTCATATGCCCAGGTTGAAACAGGTTTGTGTGAAAATTTTGCTCGCAATATAATTATTATACATATTATCTCGATTTAATTTTAAGAGTATGAGAGGTTATTCTTCTTTAACAATACGAATTTCCCTAGACGTTAGAAACGAAAAAGGATAGTATGATTCAAGAAAAGATAAAGTTTCTTCGTCGATTTCGCAAACATACTATCTGTGGTCATCTACAGAAATCGTCAGGATCTGTGCAACATCGATCTTAATTCCTGATTCGCACATGAACAAGTGCCCTGTTCTTAACCCCTGAGAGTCTCGGAAAATATCCTCTATAGCAAGCTAGGTAGATATCACAAAACATGTCGTTTTTGAGGTACAGCAACTCGAGGGTGTGAAACAATTGAAGGGTAAATTATCTGAAGCTGTAAGTTTAAAACCTGTCTCTAAGGCAGGTTTTAAAATGGAAAGACACGTGTCCACGCACGACAACACCAATGCTGCATTAATGAGTGCAGGTATTGACGCTGTACGGACCTTTTAACTGGAGCAGGAGAATGTTTTACCAGAACTGTACCTCGTGTCTGACCCGAAGCTTAAGTACAATGACTAATGTGACGCTCTAATTTATCTGAGAACGCTGCAAACTCCAGCAATGTTTAATCTGATCACATCAGTTTTCAGAAAGACAATGTCGGTAAGACGAGTTTGTTTCGACAGCAGAATCGTATCTAATCTTGCCGCAACAATAGATGCGGATAGAGATGATAACACTTTAACAAAGACAGCACTTCATAATATAAGGAGATCAGAAAAGAAATCTTTCAATGTAGAAACGAATTCTATCAGCTATGTTCGATTTACTGATCGGTGGCATCTGTAGAAATATAGTGTTTATGTGGATTAATCTGTTAAAGCAGGGCTATTGTATCATTTTAACATTAACTTTGCATAGTGATGATACTTTTATTGTGTCTCTTGTGATTATCTATTTCTACAGTGTTACGGTACCACGAGGTTTCTGGCGCAGTAATGCGCTTTTGAGCAATATACGTCACGCGCCGCAACCGAATCAGATTTAAGTGCACTTTTTTCATTGTAAACATACATACGACGCGCAACACGTTCTACGAGGTCGAAATTTTCGAGGTCTCTAACTCCGGAATAGAGCAATATTTAGACGATCTGACACTTTCTGGGGCTTAAGCAACCTAAGAGAAATTAGGGGAACAACTCAGAAAAAATTTTTAGTCGATATTCCGGTGTCTGTAGATGTCCGAAGTTTTGGCAGTAAAGTGCTCACAACACAGCTTCTGAAGGCTCTAGAAGGTTCCCGATACCGTCAGAGTGTTCAGTACACTCCATTCTATCATATAAGAACCCTAAAAGAAGTCCCAGAGCTCTAGCAGAGAAGTGCGATATTTGCCCGTAAGAGCCTCTACTATGTCATTCCGCCTAATCTCTATTCTATATGTTTATGAACATAATAGCCTGAGGTCCCCAGGTAACATATTGAAACGACCGTGGGGGTCGCAACGTGATACTTACTGGGCCGCGCTCAGCCTGTCATTCCGCCAAATCTATATTCGGGCTGAGTGATTTACGACCTCCATCGCCTCAGAAAAAATGGCAGTACGCTCATTGGAAGTTGATGTGCGCGTGACCAGCATTCACGTGATCATTTAGAACCAATTGGGGCCTCAGAAAAAGACACGTGCACGCAAACTGCCAATTGGAGAAAAGTAAACGTATTAGCTAGAGGAGCCGCGCGATGAGTTAGATTGTAAAATTTGATTATTGGATTGTAAAATCGAGCGATATGAGTGTCATCAGTGATGTGCTGCTCACTGCACCTCGTGTTATCACACTGCACAGTTACATCGGTACCCTCCTTCATGTTTATGTTGTTCCTGTAGTTAAAATATATTTTGATGACCTTTTCTTGCTCGTTACGACATTTTAAAAAATCGTCCAGTTGTCTACACTTGTTTATATTTAGCTGCCCGACATTTACTTCGTTTAAAGACCCTAGCGAAAGATGTTAGCTTTACTTAATATCAAAGTAAACATGGTCCTGTCATGACTACCACTCTGATGAGGGATGGTTTAGTTTGTCAATCAGTTTGCAGTTATATCTGAAGATTTTCTTTTATATACTCATGCTATGCATTTGAATTAAATTTCCGAACTAAGGTCGTGTTACTTAAATCCAAATCAAGAGGTTCAGGGTACTAGAAGGAACAAAATATGTCAGATTGATGTTGACCATTATACTGTCTGTTTGTTATAGTTTTTATTTCTTTCGGACTGCCTGTTCGGGCCCGGCTACTTTTTGTCGTTTTCAAAGAAGGCCCTGTGATCGAAAGAAATCTCTTAGATGTGATCTATAGATTAGTTCTGCCCTGCACCTTTTTCCTTGACAGTTAGTGTCCAAATTCTGAATTGGATCGTAGAAAACACTTTAATGGTCTGATATTCATACTGTACAATCTTTGATGATGGATTAAGATATTTAATCCTAGTTATTACTTATTTAATAGATTGCATTGTGATGGAAATCATGTGTTCTCGTACTCTATATTAGTCACTTTGTCCTTAATCCTAGATGTTGTAAAAATATTTAGTTTGTTTTAACATTTTTGCAAGAATAGATTAGTCTCCCTGAATTGAAATCGGGAGTTAATCTATATTATACATTATCCTTTATTGTGAAATGCTTTGAGAGCGTCATAATTTGTTGTGTCTGATCTCACATATCAGTAGTGTGGAATGTGGATCAAACCAAACGTTTGATTTGTTTCTGTTAGTATCTGTGCTTTGTTTAACCACAGGATACTTTTTTTCCCAAATTTTACAGTCATCCTCCCAGACAATTACATTCTATATTATGTTATCTTTTACAGAGTATTGTATAGCTCATCTAAATGGGCTTGTGTAAAAATCTCAAATTTGATAAATAACATTTTCTAATTGATGTATAGCCAAGACGAGTTCGTTAGTGTTCTCCTTGGTAATTTCATCTTAAATTCCTGTTTAATTCCTGTTTAATTCCTCTTTAATTCCTCTTTAATTCCTCTTTAATTCCTCTTTAATTCCGTGTGTTATTGTCTAATGTCTCTTGACCCCCACCTTAAAGAAACACCGGTTACTGCTAGTGTTAGTAATTTCACACAATGGGAGTCAAGAGGCTTATTTCATCAACCATCTAGTCTGTTAGCACTTGTTTTGGTCAACGGAACAACACAAGTGAAATATGATTCTTTGTTTCTGTTATCAGTGCTTGCTTTTACCCTGAGGACCCCAGGCTATTATGTTCATTAATAGAGATTAGCGGAATGACAGGCTGAGCGCGGCCCCAGTTAGTGCGATTCTTTCAATTTTGCCTAGGTCTAACTTCCATATCAGTTCAGATCGCCTTTGTGTGTTGTGCACTTGTGCCGTTCTTTTATGATATTCAACGATCACTCTGTGGTCTATAGTTCATAATTCGTTCTTTATCTATCCGTCTGCCAATCAAATATTTTTGTAGTTTGTACAGTGTTGGTGGACAAGTTTTTAGCGTAGGTGTAAATGATTTGAACGTTCAATATATCTGTTATTGCATCAGGATCACGTATACTTTCAACTTTTACTTTTATGACGAAGCCTCTTGTAGTGAAGGTTTGATCTCAGAGTCAACTAAACCATAAACAGTCTTCTAAGAATAATTAGTTAAAATATAGCTTCACTCATTTGTACTGGTTCCGGCTATCTCGTGTGTTTTAAGTTTCAAATCCCCGTGTTCTGTTCTCAGGAAGCTGCCGTTAAATATTTTGTCTCGGAATTTAATAAACTTCATCTTTCAGTCGTACAATCCACAATATATTTCGATAGTGATACTGACTCTGAGATATATGCTGAGAGCTCGCATTATTTCTTACTATCTAGTACCTGATTATATATTGATATTTACCTGGGATAGGACAGGCGTTTGTGATCACTGACACAATTTATATCGTGTAATATCATAACTTTAGAAATCCTTGTATATCCCCTTGCCTGTTCTTTGTCACAAATTTTAGGCAAACAACTGTTTAATCCAAATTTATTGTTTCGAATTCGAATTTGCCACTCTTGCAACTCCTGTAACTCATAAATTTAATGAGGGACACCTGCCAATTTATCAATATCGATAAAAAAATATAACATTTGTTTGCTCGCATTATTTCTTAAGTTCTTTATCTTACTATCTCATGCCTGATTATAGACTTTGCCACCTAATAGTCCTGTTTTTTACACCTGTTGTTTTTTGTACGGCACCACCGTAAAGTTTTCCACCGTAGAGTCTTACGCCATAGATTCCCAGACCCACTTACATTCACCGTGTAGATCTCCTGTAAGACTAAGACTAAGAGTAAGAACATTTTAAACTCTGTTACCATTGAGACAGTTTCAAGTAGAACGAGTCACCGTGTAAAATAAACCGTACTATTATAGCTGATCATT